AACCCTAATCCTGGCAATAATAGGGCTGCAACTAATGATTATTTTCATATTCGATTCGTTGGCCGATTATTTTTTCGATTAATCTGATAAAACAAAAATTAGATACCATCCTTAATTTAAAATAAAATACAGAAATGCAGTGTTACAAACAAAGTTTCACATTTTTTGCAATCGCATTGCGGCACTGTGTGTTCCAGTGTGGGTAAACCCACTGTGGGTGAGAAGCGCGTTTACGGTGCGATTGAAATGAATGACTTTTTTTCCCCACTTTTTTTATAATTTTTTTTTTTTTTTTATAATTGCATTGTAAGCACTTGAATAGCTTCAGCCAGGCAATGAGAGCTGCCAGTGCCAAGATTCCACAGACGGCAGCTGAATGTAAATACAGCAGGTGGTGGGCTGGTGCAATAGCCAGCCTGCTATTGGCCGTTAATCCCTGTAACCCCAACCCTTACACCAACCATCCCTATAACCCCAACCCTTACACCAACCATCCCTATAACCCCAACCCTTACACCAACCATCTCTGTAATCCCAAAACCTTCCTGTAACCCAAACCTTAAGACTAATTTTGCCTGTAGCTCCAGCTCTAACCCTAAGCCTTAAAATTGTAAACTTAAACATTGTTTGCTTACTTGCTTCGCCTATCTTGAAATCCCCTGCAAACCTAGCACTGGAATCTGCTGTATTATTACAGTCTTATATACCAGTGAAAGCTTATACTAATGAAAGTCCTTCATCATGTGTGAAGTCCGGCCAGAATGAAATGGAGCTTCTAGGTTTTCTTCTCCTTGCTCATGTGAGCAAAGGGAGCAGTAGGGTAGCAAAGGAAATTGAGTGTCTGGGGATGAGAAGGGGGCATTTCGGTAAACCTGTTGCTTTGTTCTGTAATAGGAAGAGTGAGACTCTGTGTTGGAGGAGTGGGGCTTGGATTTCCAAAAGGGAGTTCTGTTGTAGAACTACCAGACAGTGCTTCAACCCAAAAGTATCTCCTCCCCCATTAATTAAAAATGTGTATGGCCTAAGAAGAAAAGGGACTCTTTTAGGAGTCTAACAACATTACTTTTCAGCATAGTCCCCATAGTAAATTGTCCAGGCTGTAAATACATTTGCATGGTGCATCTCCAGGGGAAGAGGAGGGACATTTTTACATTGCTTTGACTGCACCTTTTACTTCTATCTGAAAGCAGTGAACCTGTGAATTATTCATAGTCCCAATCTGGCTCCGAGGTTTACAGAATCTGTTCACAACCAGATTGTAATGTCTTCTTTATATTGTAAAGCGATGTGCAAACTATTGGCGCTTTATAAATTCTGTATAATAATAATAATCACAAATCCTTGGCAGACACGAGTGTGTGCATTTTATCAGCTGTCAGTGAGTTTAGGGCCGCAGTAATCATAGACCATTTCACAAAAAGGCAATTAGAGGATTTGCAGGAAAACAGTAGGTCTGATTTATTGTGCAGTGTGAAGTGAAGTCCAGTGAGGCTAAGTGAGCATTGAATCAGGTGCACTAGAACATTTCGAAACTCAGTCTCTTACCTAGCATTTGACGTTTAAAAGAACACAGGTTCGGATCACTTTTGACTTTACTAAATTATTTCTTTTTAACCATCTAGTGTTTCTCAAAGCCTACATAGTCTGCAATTTAAGTTCTGAGTGATCCACCCTTTTAAACTACACTACATAATTTTGGCACAGCTGGCCATTGCACCTCTTTGGGCATCCCATTCCAAAACTTTGGGCATCAATCTGGAGTTCACCCCCATAACAGCATTAACCCTTCTGGGAAGGATTTCCACAAGATTGTGGAGTGTGTCTGTGGCAGTTTGTACTCATTCAGCCAAAAGAGCATTTGTGTGGACAGGTACTGATGTTGGACAAGAAGACCTGGCTCACAATCGGCATTCAGTTCATCCCAAAGTAAGGTTGAGGCTAGGGCTCTGTGCAGTTCACTAAAGCTCCTCCACACCAAATTTGTAGAACCATGTCCTTATGAATTTGGCCTTTCAACCTATGTACAGAGTTCAGGGGTAAAGAGTAAGTAATGCTCAGAGTTTAGGGCTAGGAATGAGTAGCCCACAGAGTGCAGGGGTCAGAAGTGAGTAACCCACAGAGTGCAGGGGTTAGTAGTGAGTAACACAGAGAGTGCACAGTTCAGGAGTAAGTAATGCACAAAGCGTTCAGACAAATTCCCTCTTCTCAGTACAACCCCCTCAGGACAAAATTGCCCTTCCCCAGGAATGTACTTAGCAGACCTTGATGTTGCATCTGTGTTGCTTAGTACCCTGTTTCCCAAGACTGTGACTGCCTCCATTTTTGTTTTTTCAATGTGAGGCTCTGCAGTTGCTGGCTTTTCTCCCTGCTCACTTACCTGTCATCCCTGTAGCACAAAGCTGAGGGAAGTGCTCAGAAACTCCTCCTCAGTCCTGAGCTACAGGCCTGAAAGGTGGTAGGCAGACACGGACAGAAGCCGCCAACTGCTGAAGCCTCAAACTGTAGCCATTTGTGGTGTTGGGATGCAGGGCACTCGGCAACAGATGCGGCCCGTGCCCTGGGTGCCCAGATCGAGCAACGCCCCCGATGAGTGATTTTCACCTCAGAAAAATATCTTGAAAAACCCACTTCTTTCGTTGGGGTTCTATGCTTTTGAGTCTCCTTGGAGTGCCAGTGTAGCCACTACGTATGCGTTCCCGGCTGAAAAGCATGTGAAGCAGGTCTGAGTGCAGACATGCACAGTCAGCCTCTTCAGTAACAAGACGACTTCTCCGCCTACCAGCTCTAGATTGACAGCTAATCTGCCTGGTCTTGCCTGCTGCTTCAGGGTGTCAAGTGATCATTGTGATAGGCAAAATGAAAGATGTGTAGTCTTCATGTAAAATAAATGCAGAAATTCCAGTTATATTGCCATTTGAAGCCAATATAAATGTGTAATGTCAGGTTGCCTTGAGAGGTTTGTTTAGAAAAAAACCCCCACCATTTACAATCTCTAATATATTATTATTACTGGTACTATTACTGTATAATGCATGAAATTCACTATTTATTTAAATATTGCTAACAAACAGCGATAAGTGAGCTAAAACCCTAATAATTTTCTCATCTTGTTAAGTAGTACATCGATATTTTCACAGCAAAAGAGACATTTTTAACACCTCTTATCTCTGTTGGAATCTCTTGGTATATTAAGCCTATATAATGGTATAAGCATCCAAGGGTAGAGCTGGATCAAGAGTATAGGCTCAATGCACACAATAGTTCCTGGTGCCTGACGTTTCCTTTCTTCTGCCCTACGTGTCTTGATTGCATTCATTTCGCTGTGAGTGTGTGGAATAAGCACCATACTGACAGCCAGTGATATTAAATGCTGTGATTAAAGTAGGAATGTATGCTGTAGCTCTAGGCCTGGAGTTACTTATATTGGATGAGAGCAGCAGATTACTTGTAGCTCATATGGCAGCATTGGGTGAAGGATTATCACATCTCTTTTTACAAAACATCTACAACCAGACAATATATTAAATGAAATTTTGTAATACCTTCCTACCAAGCAAAGTAAACCTGATGTTGTACTATAGGCACCAAATACCATCATAATGCCACTGAAGCAACCTGAAAAATAAACTTTCAGGTATAGGGCATGCATACTGTATACACTCCCACTCGCCTCCCACAATGCAGTGATCAGTGCTTGAGCAACCAGGCCCAAGCACTGACCCACGAGGGGGTGTGCTTATCCGCATGCAAATATTGACTTTCAGAAAGCCAATATTTCCAGATTTTGTGGTTAAGCTGCACATTGTGCATAAGGTAGCACTGTGACTGTAGAATAGGCAATTTAGGGTGCCCTCTTACAGCATCATTGCTGTAATGGACACTGAATGGATAAAAGTTCAGTGTTCTAACTGAATGGATAACAGTTCTAATGGACTCAAGGCAAACTGGTAAATACACAGTCGGATATGTCTGTGAAGGTTCTCATTCATCCAGGTCATGAAATATGTGCAAAAAAAAAATAAAAAATCAAAGCAATTGGACTTGCTGTATTTTTCTTGAAGACTTTTGCCTGGTCATCCAACCAGCTTTCTCAATTCAGTTCTGAATTGGGAAAGCTAGTCGCATGACTAGCAAAATTTCTTCAAGAAAAATACAGCAAGTCCAGTTGCTTTGATTTTTGTTTTTTTACAGATACACAGTTGGATAGTTTGCCAAGTTTTAAACAAGACGTATGTAAATCAAGTTCAACCAAAAATTAAATGCATTAAAAAACTTGCTTCCTCAGAATCGTAAAATTGAGAAAGGTAAGAAAACCCTTGTAAAGCATGATCCAATGTGCTCTAACAGGACAAAATCCTTCCTGAATGTCAAAGGTAATCAGATACTACCTAAATGAACAGTCTACAGCACATGTGTCAAACTCAAGGCCCAGGGGCCAAATCCCGCCCACCAGGCCATTTCCTAGACTTCTACTTTCAGATCTAGGTATTAAGTTATTACTAAAACCAGTGATAATCGAATGCAGAGGCAATTATGATAAAGATTAGATACATTTATATAGTCTTACAGGCCCTTTGAGGGCAACCATAATGTTGATGCGGCCCTCGATTAAATTGAGTTTGACACCCCTGGTACAGTGTTATTTCTTATACTTATTAATAGCCAGTTATATTCTGCATTTTTAGAAGCACTTTCTGCCTTTTTTAAATCAAGTTGCGGAAGTCTTTTTCAATTTCTATGGCTCTTACTGTCAGGAAGTCTTTCTGTATGAGGTGGTTCAACCTCTTTATGCTGAAATACAAATGTTGTACCCACCAAATAGGTTGTTATTTTGTCCATTGAGTGCTGAGATTTACACAGCCCTGCCACAAAACAGCTAGCTTGGTGACTAGTAGTATTAAATGCTCAAACCTCTTTTTAATAATGAATCCACATAAAACAAATATACATTGTCCAGCACAGTATTTCTTTACGTTTTCACAGTCATCGTGTTTCATAACTGGCTCCAGCTCTCTAAGTTTGGCTTTTCTGAACTTCCTTTTGAGTACAAGATCACAAGGACACAGCAGTCTGTCCATCTGCTAGCTTAAAGAATGGAAAAATGAGGTGACAGGAAGGAGGAGTAGAGAAGTGACTTGCCTTGCTTTGCCTGTGTGTTTACACACACAGAGCTTACTTGGGCACACAATGATGGCTTCATAGGACCCTGCAAGGCAAAGCAGCCACCCCAAAACAGAATATCAGGTCCAGTGCTCAGGGGATCAGCTGATTCTGCAAGAAACTAAAACTTTTAAACATCGAGAAGCAGCATCGATTGTAAGTGATTTCATCAACATTTGAAAATAGTTTAAAGACCTTTTGACTTTAATATCACTTTAGGTTTCTCTACTGCAGTTAAGCTATACAACCCAGCCCGCAATTGGACAATGAAGAATCAGCAGCAGATTGATAAAGTCTAAAGCTGGCCATACACCTATAGATTATCTGCAGATTTTCTAAGGTCAGATGGAAAAAGTGCAACAGATTCCTCCATCTACGCTAAACGGTGTGGATGGATGAATCTCCCGCTGGGTGAAGCTTCAGTATCTTGCTAGTCGGCCCTGCTGGCTCTCAAAAGACCTGAAAATCAGATTCTTCAGGTATTTTGATAGCCAGCGAGGCCGACTAGCAAGATACTGAAGCTTGGCCCCGTGGGAGATTCCTCCATCCACACAGTTTAGCATAGATGGAGGAATCTGTTGCACTTTTTCCATCTGACCATAGAAAATCTGCAGATAATCTATAGGCGTATGGCCAGCTTTACTCTCACCTTGGACCCCAGAACCTTGATTTAACAAGCTTATAGGAACAAGGAATATTACTGAGTCACGGGCTAACCTGTCATTAAAGGAGAACTATGGGGTCAGTGTTTTTCCCCATAGTTCAGCTGGCTCTGCCTATCTAGAGGCAGAGCCAGCTGTACCCGCCCCCTCCCCCGTCCGTTCCGCCAGTCAGCGCTGGCAGATCGGAGCGGGGAGAGGGGAATCCAGCCCCTCCCCCTGTCACGGCAGAGAGCCGTGACAGGATCGAGAGGTGAGGGAACCCGGTATGTGTTCCCTCACCTCCCGATCTACTGAGCCGACCTGTGACAGTCTCATTGTCACAGGTCGGCTTAGAACTATGAGGTGAGTGGAAATCACTTATGTCATAGTTCTCCTTTAAAGTAAAGCCCTTTTTCTAAGTTTTCATGAATATTCAGCCCCTGACACAGTGTTACAGGTCATTTTGAATGTTCCTTTCTAAGGATCTTTTATAAACCAAAGAATTGGCTGAAATAGTTCAGTTTTTTTTAAATTCTACAGCTAGAAGATAAATCATTTGTTAAAAAAGACCTCACAAAGTGCTTTTGTTTCTTTGCCATTAGTTGATCAACGAATCATCTTCTCCTTTTCATGTTTGCTGGGGCCGGTAAGTAAGTGAACCAAAGAATCTCCCAGGTGAATGAGGAGAAAAGAAGGGTTTCCAAATACCTAAAATCCCCATTCAAATAGAAAAGTGTTCTTGTAATCAACAGGCCAACTAAAACCAGTATTTTTAGTTCTCTAGTGTATTGAAGTGTCCTCATGGGAATATCTAGTACCCGCTGCTGTCATAGCCATTGCGAAGCTGATGATGGTATCACACTCCCCTGATGAATTCTCCATAATGTGGAATAAATGGATAATTGGAAAACAGCAGCTGTGTGAGAGAGTGCTACCTGTTCCCTCAGTTATACCATCATTATGACCTCATGGGAGGGAGAAGACACACAAACCAACACAAGAGAAGTCCTTATAAAAGCTGTAAGAAGTCAGTGGGTGATGATCCAAGTGGGTGATGATCCAACCTATCTGTAACTAGTTGTCCTTAAAAGCAGAACTCTAGCTTCCCCCGATAATAACTCTCTTCATATCTACTTTTTTTGAAAATGCCCTATATCTTTTATCTGGCTTTTTGAAGTTTTCAGGCCAGTTTCTCCTTGGCAGGGTGGTGGACAGTCCTTCCTCCCGGTATTTACGCGTAAGTGCCGCTCAATCCAGAAGCATCATGAACCCAGGCTGCATCATGACGCACTCCACGGTGATAGATGAAGCCTACCATTTCTAATATCTACCCTGCTCCGTTGGCAGTGAATTCTGCAGTCTGATTACTCTTACAGTAGGGAGTGAAGGTGAGAAAAATGAATAGAGTAGAAAACTCTTCCTTAAAATATGTATTGTCAGTGTAGTGGATGATCTACGTATAGTGTTTTCATTTAAGTGACTCGAAAGTAGGCTAAGCAGCTCATTCCTGGTACACCTTTTGTAGCATTGTCTGTGTTCTCTCCCCTGAGAGTTGGCCTAAACATTCATTACACAGACACATGAGGCTAAAATAGCTTTTATGATCAGCTGGAATTAGGCCACACAAAAGAGATTTTTGCAGGTTTAATGTTTTTTGTACAATGACAGGCATGTTGTTTTATTTAATTTAAAGAAATACATCCACAAAGTTGGTTGCAATTTTCATAGATAAATACCAATACCAATTTTTTTAATTAATTGGGGAATGAAATTGTATACATAATTTTTTTTATATATTATTTACAAACTCTGTATATACATTTTCTAACTGTTTACATTTATAGATTTAACATTTATAGACCTGATATAACTAGATTATTGTAATATATTGAATGATTTAACATGATTCATATCAATCTTTGATACTGATATAATAGAACCTGTGATTTCTGGACCCCAAATGTTTCAATGTCCCACCATGTGCCACTACTACCTTCCTGCCAGTCACCTGAATGTGAATGTGCTTGTTGTTCAGGGTGAGCAGAAACACAGTGGTTCAGTGAATATTAGTCCTGTCTTACAGTACTGAAGTTCTAGGATTCCTTTCTAAAAATGCCCTCTGTGCATTGAGATTAGATTCTCCTTCATTATGTGGAAGAACACTGCGATTCAGGTAAGTTGGGGGGGGGGGGGGCGGGTGGGGGGGGTCGGGAGGGGGAATCGCACACTGTTTTTTTTATTTTCACATTTAAAAACAAC